CGGGAAGCTTACCTATATTTTACAATCCGTCTTTGGCAACCCATTTTTGTGGACAAAACCCTTTATACTTACGATCCTGCTCTCCCATGCTCCCCTCAGGAACAGCTCGTGCTTTCTTGGATTAGCTGCCTTTCTCAGAGAAACTCGCAACAACACATTGAACCAACAGCTTTTCTTCTTTCCTCTTTTCCCACAGTATGCCTCATCGTACTTAACCCAATGCCATTCCATGAATGCTTACCTAACTTTTTGAGATCTGATTCAGATTCTTGACTTTACCAGAAGTTCTCTTGAAATTAATTAACAACAAATGAAATTAAAAACAAATGAAGATATTATTATTATTATTGTTATTATTATTATTATTACATTTTGTTTTAAACTATCTTCTGCATTTCTGCACACATGCCATGTAGTTGTGGTGTTGTCCTATTATTTTTTTCATTTCCATGTGATGTATTGAACAGTGCTCTTTTAGGGCTTCAGAATTTGACATTTTACTTTTTATTCACAAATTCTTCACTAATGTTTCTGGGGTGGCTTCTGCTTTGTTTTATTAAGTGACTTGGGAAAGTACAGTATCCAGATATGCATTTGTAAAAATATATCCAAATATCATTTTTGTGTTGCATTTTAACAATTATGTTTTGTATCGTGTTGGACGTTTATATCAAAATTCCAATAGAAGCGCATCAAGGTTGTGCTTGTAAACATAATTAGAGTGGTGATAGATCACATTTTTATTTTAACTAACTGTTTTTTCTTCACTACTACCAAATATTGTAGGAAAGTTACTGTATTCATAATTCTTTAGTAATTATTATGTTACTATACCTCAATAATGAGATGGAACATTGTAAAGCACCTCTGGAAGATAACACTGTATGACATCCTAATGAGTCACCTGTGCATTTGTGCTTGAAGTCAAGCTGTCCAAATCGCTTCACTTCCACACTGTCTTAGGTTGTGTCACATATTTGGAGCAAGGAGATATCTGGTTAAGTAGATCATCAGTAACTAAATAGCTGAGTGTGTAATCTCCCCTATATAACTTAACAGTTAGCTACCATCATTGTGCCATACAAACATTTTTTTGCCATTAATATCAGACTTGAAAACTCTGGTAAATTGGACATGAAACTCATAATTTTAGCCTTGGTATCTCAGGTAAGTTCTTTTTACTTACAATAACGCAGTGCCACATAATGTAGAGGCTTAAAAGAAAAGGGTTAGCCTTACGGTGAAGAGAAATGAGCATTCAGAAAACACACAGTTTGCACAGTGGCTTTTATCTAGTTACGTTTCCTTGCTTATAGCACGCTGTCTTTTTCAAATCAGACGATGGGAACTGAGCAGAATCCTCCAGAGATCAAACATACAAAGTTAATCAGAAGAAAACCAAGTGGTATACATTGAGATGTGAGGAATCGCTTCGCCAAATGTGCTCCATATTCTCCACCTCCCCTTTCGCAACTCTCCCCGAAGCAAATCCACGAGTCTCCCCCTGGACTTCAATTGTCAGATTGAGAGGAGAAAGACTGGAAGGTGGGTTGTGAGGGGGGGGGATAAAGAGAGGGAGAGGAGAGGAAGGAGAACAGGTGACAGGCACTGACAAAAAGGACGAATGCTCTGTAAGGTTCAGTGCACAGTAAGAGGGCCACGGAGACGCCACAAAACAATTTCCTTTCAGACAAAAAATAGAATAATGAGAGATAAGAAAACATTGACATCTGTTGTAAATAATATTTGTCCAAAAATGAGTTATGACACAATGCAGAAACAACTGCTAAAAGAGGAGAGTATAGGTCATTGTTGTCAGAAATTGATAAAAAAAAATGGCGTGACTGACTGTGCTGTTTTGCTCATTAAATCTAATGACTTTCTTCAAGTTTGGTGTTTTATAAATAAGTTAGATGATTTAGTGTCATGAGTAATTATGTTTTTTTGGGGAGTCGCATATGTTTTCTTCATGTTTAGATAATTTGCCAGTTAACATTATTTTGTTCTTTTCTTAAAAATGTGCAGTTTGTGTTTCTTCTGCTCGTCTCTCTGATGTTGGATGCAGTAAATATAATTATTACCATAATTTATGCATTATGGCTCATTCTCCCTTAGTTTTCAAGGTGAATTAAATTCCTCTCAGTCTATTCCTTTCTGCATCACAGACAATTCCAATACATAAATTTTTACTTAGGGTTCATTAAAATGTTTAAAGTCCTTGAGATTCAGTGCTTTATTTCTTTCATTTAAAGAAGTAGATGCCTTCAGTTCAGCCTGCAAACAGAGCATGTGTATGCAATTAAGAAGAGACATAGTCTGTAATCTCATCCCTTGCTGGCACAAGTTACAGCACTTCTCCACCAATTAAATGGTCACATGTCATTGCAAATCGCTATTTGCAAAGTAGAACCACGCATGGAAATTTTGGAACACAAAGTCATTACATTCACTATTAGTGTGTCATTAGCGGCATTGCAGACTGGGAAATATATGGAGTACCAAACATGTTGAGCTAACAGCAGCCTCTGTCTCATAAAGAGATGGGAATTGTATTGATCCAATTCATTTGCATCTTGGTTACCATGCTGCCTTGAAACATCTAGCTTAGAAGCTGCTTTCTTTGCTGATGTCTAAACCCCCCACCCATGCCATTACAGGACCTCAGCATAGATGACATGCACACTGCTAAGACACAACGCTGTCAAGCCCACACACCTTCATACTATTTTTAGCTCGCAACATCAGCCTACTTCCTGAGATTCGTGGCTCTAACCCTGTTGTCTTTGGAAAATCAAACAGGTCTACTTCACGCCTACTCAGTAGCTCTCTCTGGACTAGTACTCCCTTGTCACTTCTTCTATTTCAGCTGAAATATCCCCTGTAGGCCTTGTTGGAAACACAGAAACATTTAAGGTCTCTCTAACAGGGCAGCATTGCTGCTCAGTCCCCTGCCCTGTAGCCATGTTTTCCTTCACAGCGAGACAGGAGGTGAAGGTTCTCTTTCTGTCTGAGTCTCTCTCAACGACCTGCATTCTAACATTGTCATGCATTTGTTCCTGTCTGTTCAGACAGCAGTCTGGGGCCGGTGTGAATGTTCCCTCCAGCTCCCTTATGAAGACCACAGTAGTTTATGAAGGAGCATAAAGCTGTCCAACACTTTCAAATTGCAATTACTTTTTTGCAGGAATTATGTCATGCAGTAAAGTATTGTGACAATAAAGATTACATACCTGACAAATTACTAAATAAATTGTCAGTGGTCATATCATTGTTTTATTATCGAGAACATAGTGGTTGAGGAAGCCAGACTCAAAGCAGATGTGATGAAGCTTTCCACTCAGAGACACTTAGAGCTCTGCTGGAAACGGAGTGCAAATAACAGTTCATGTCATGGTTTAGAACAGGGGTGTCAAACTCATTTTGGTTTAGAGGCCGCATACAGCTTAATCTGATCTGCAGGGGGCCACACAAGTAAACTCATTGCAAGATTAAATAGAACCAATAAAAGTGGACTTGTTGTTGATTTTTATATTAAACGAATTTCACTTTTACAAAATATATTATGAATAATCTCAGTTTTTAAGAAAGGTATCTGCAATTTCAACAATACTTTTACTCAGTTAAGCATTTATTTAAGTGCATTATGCATAAGAACTGATCAGTTCTAGAGTCAATGTAATATTAGCAGGAAAAAAAACAGCCTTGATTTGGAGAGTTATGTCATCTGCTGCGTTGTCTCAAGTTAATAACTTTCTACCAGGACATTTTAAAGGAACGCCTGCTTTCTGATAAGCCTGCTGCGTTGTACGACTATACTTCTCACATCGTTGTGGGTAGTAACCATTATATACATCATTTTCAATTCGTTTTAAATCTGATACAATATTAGTTTCTCATAATGTTGATTTTGAAGGGATCTGGCTCTTGTGTTGAGCTCTCTGACTCTGTGTATAGAGGCATTTATACAGCAGAAATGCAGCGAAGGAACCTGCATATTTTCTAAACAGCTTTTTGTAATAGATCAGTCTTCCTTTTTCAGTGGCTCCTTGCATTTTTTTTCTCCCCAACCATCCTCTCTTCAAGTACTCTGTGAAAAGTTTATCTATCCCTTAGAGAGAATAAATGATTATATTTCCAGACTTTTTCAAATGAACTCTCTGTGCCCTTTGAGCAGATTCCTGTCTGTATTTCTTTATTCATGTACTCGAGAAGGAGGGGGTTACCGTTACTTTTAAGAATTGTGTCCCAGCTGAATTTTTTGACTTTTGTCATACATTGGCCTTATACAAATAAACTAAATTGAGCTGAATTGATTTTTAAGAAATAAACGTAGCGTTGCATGCAGACGGAGCTTTTGACATTTTACAATTTCTCAGGTCCGGGTCAGTTTCATGTTGCGGTTTTATTCTTCAAGGGAGGAAACATTTTGCCATCGGCTTGTGTGTGTTGTTGCTGAGGTCACAGCAATGTGAAAGATTCTTGATAAGCTTCTGTCTAGAGAGAGGCAAGCTTATTGGCTGTGAGATGGTATTTGTTAGCAGACAGGAGTCCTCCCTCAGGTTTTCATGTGAGGGTTATTGATCTCCGCAAGTATGACCTTGTGCTCAACATCCTCTATTTTATTGGCGGACATTGATGCAATATGTAAAGAATCTGTGTTTAAGTAATTGAAATAGGGGTATAGCCATAGGATGGCAGACGTATCTGATAACGTCAGATTTGATCTACTTCTGCTTTTATTTTCTTTCCTTTGTAATAAGCCAAAACTTTTTCTCTGGTGCAAAACTAATTTCTTCAAAATCTTTTTTTTTTTTTTTTTCTCTTTGGCATCATGCACAGAAGGGACTTCCTTTGGGATCTCTGTTTAGTTCAAAGTCATTTATATTGCAGTTTTTTTTTTTTGTTCTTTCTTTTTGTGTGTTTTTATCAGTGTGCTGAATTTAGGAATAGAGGAAATGAAACTCAAACTTTTTCCGAATTCTGTTTTCTTATTGTTTCAGCCCAGGAGCAGAACTTTGGGGATCGGTTCCTCCACGTGTCCCTTGAAGATGGGCGCCCCATTGCTCAGCTTGGCTGTGGGGGCACCAGTGTTTTACATGCAGCTGCTGACAAGAGCATCAATAATAACAGATGGATGTCGATCCTAATCCGGTATGATGTTTGATTCCTTTGAGTTTGATTCACAAAATACACAATAAACTGGATGTTGTTTTGTTTATAAAGTCTTTAGGATGGATCTTAACATAAATATAAACACAACAATTGTGTTCTCCAAAAATGGCAAACCAAAACAAAACAAAACAAAAAAAAAATCATCAGCTACAACCGTATTAAAAACATGGCTAATAAAACATAGGTATTCAAAAGTTACTGACCATTGAGTCATGGATCTATTTGTTCTCCGAAGGTATGTGATGTCCTGCACAAAGCTTTGACTTGCAAAATCTTTAGGGCTCCTAAATCGCCTGATTAGATTAATTCATTTGTAATCTCTCTCATGCAAGTAAGTGGGAAATGACATTTATTTATTTTCATCACACTGACCTTGTATTATAACTGCAATAACTATAGGTTTCATTGTTTAATCAAAGATGGCATGCGATCCAGGCATCAATAAAGCTTGTAGTTTGAATGTGACAAGATAGGAAAAATGTACAAGAGTAAGTTTTGTTTTTTCACCATACTTGCTATTATTTGACTCATTTCCTTTAAAACGTATTTCTTGTATTGACATCAAAGTCACAGATGAATGTATCCTTTCACAATACAAATGAAATCACTTGGCTCAGAAAGATCCGGCACAGTTTGGCATGTTGATCTTGATCTCCATCCACTTACACTTCTTTCCCATCTCCTACACCTAAGCCTGACAAACAATGCTTCTCCCCTGCACAACCGATCTTTCGTCTCTGTGGTGTGCACACTGGCTTATGGCTCATCACTATGGAGCAGAGGGAGCTGCTTGGGGAAATATGAGAACGACTGCCGCAGAGCTCTGGCAGCTCTATTTATTCTTGATATGTTCAGCACTTTTGATTCACATGCAAATGAGCGTGTGACATCAGAGGTATTTGTCTGAACACTAAATACTTACTTTCCTCAGCTAGGAGTTGACAACACTGAATACAGCCTTGGTAACTTGCAGGTGTCAGCATATGTGTGTTGCAGGGCAGTAGATGCATTTAAGCACACATAAGCCAGGATTTTTTTTTTTTTTTTTACTTGGCACATGACACCAGAAAGAGAAAACCATTTGCCTTTTGCTTTTTGAACAACTACTGTTAGATGTTTTATTCACTCTGTACTCTAAGCAAATGGTGTGTTGCACTGATTCAGCACTATCAGTACGAAGAAATAAGTACACCCTCACTGTGCAACATTAAGTTTTGTGGTATGGAAAACAGTGGTTCTATTTTTTATTATTTTTGTTTTAAGATAGAAGCGCTAAGTATTGATATAGCATACTCCAATTACTTTGTTCAGTTTATTTGATGACAAAAAGTTATGAAATTTTTGTAAAACAAAAATAAGACAGTCAAAAATAAGACAGTCACACTAAGAGAGGATTTATTTTTTTTCTGCCAGTAGGACTTGGTATTTGGCTAGAAGAATAGTGTTCAGCATCAGCCTCGCCACATGCACTTAGCTAAGCCCTGTTGTGATGTTTGGCTGATCCGATCCCAGCTCTTTCACCTCTGGCTTCTCCTAAAATGTTCTTCTCTCAAAGGGTATTGTTTTAAGTGACTTCACTGAATTAATTAGTTTCTCTTGCTCCATTTTGCATCTCCAGTCGATCGTCTCCAATTCCCACTGTTCGATCTGTCAGTCAGGCATATTTTATGACAGGCAGCCCCACCATCAGCCCAGTGGGAGGAGGGTGGTGAGATGCAAATCAAACTGCATTCAAGTCTAGGCGCAGGAGAGGGGCGCCCCAGAATGGTCATATTTCTTGTATTGAAGAAACTTTTAATGACTTTTTTTTAGCGCCCGAGGGCGGAAATATGTCACCAATCAGTTTACTTATCATGAACTATAAAATGTTTATCTTACACAACTAAAAAATATATGCATATATTTCAAAAATAATTTTAATTTTCTATCAATTTTTTTTTTGTCTTATTCAAGATAATGTTGCAAGTGGTGGGGCGGCGCCCTTGTGCCCTCTATTGGCCAGCCGCCACTGCTAAAGAACTATATGAATAT